AATGAATACGGTCGACCAAGCCACGGCCTCTCCTGGTGGGCGGCTCCTTCCACCCTGCCCTGGGTCCACGCTGACGGAGAGCCGGCGAGGCCACGGAGTGTGGCGCAGTCTCCCCCGCCCCCATCCCTCCCAGTCCGAGGTCCCGGAAAGCGTAGAACAAGCAGTCTTGCCCCACCCCCTCCCCGTCCAGGACCCGGATTGTGCGCCCCTTCTTCCAGCCGGGAAGACCAGTTCCAGCTGATACCACCCGCTTGCTCACCACGTCTGCGCCCTCGGCGCCACGGCCCCAGCGCCAGGCAAGGTACGCAGGCCGCCGGGATGCGGTGACAGGCAACACGCTCCCTACCTGGGAGGAGACTGCCAGCCGGTCCTCCTCCTCGCGGGCCTAGTGAAGCCAGCCCCACCTGGCAAGGGACTGTCAGCAAATTCCCCGCTGCATCACCATGGGAGCGGCATCCCGGCCCCTCCCAGGCAGAAGCCAACCTTGGCCCCGCCCCAATGCTGCTTGACCCGCGAGGGAACCCAGGCTGGATTTTCATATTGCAAAGGCCCAGGCTCCGCCTTTAGAGACTTTGTTGCTACCAGGAACCATCAGCAAATTACCATCGCAAATATACAAGGCTGGCAGTCCCTTGCTGTAGACACTCCAGCACCCTCCGAAGCTCTGTGCCCCGGCAGGCGTCCTGCTGCTCTCTGCCCACCCTACAGCCTTCACCCCCACTTCAAGCTCTCCTTTGAGGCACGTGCCCCTTTCAACCCACCCAACCCCGCCAGCCAAAGCGAGAAAAGACAACCGCACAAAGGTAACGGCGCTTAGCCCCGCCCAGGGACCAGCTCCTGGCACCGGCCCAGTGATTGGTTCCTTCTTCCCCAGCAAAGGGAACATCTACAAATTGACCACAGCCCTGTCCAGGAGGCCCAAGAGGGTGGGCTGGGTCATTTCCAGTTTGCCGTGGGCCACAGTCCTGTAGGTCTCCAGTTTCTTCAAAGTCCTGGCTACTCTGCTGGAGACGCTAGTTTTGACTGTGGGGGCAGGTGCCCGTGTTCGAACCCACAAAGATCAGTATACAGACTAAGGTGCAGTAGTAAACAGCCACCCTCCTCTCTTCCAGGAAGGGGCCTAAGCATGTTTCTTTAATAGACTTTAGGAGAGAGGCAGGCTGCTGACCAATCTTTGAAAGTGACTCTCTTTTAACAGTTATATAATGGTAAGATATTGACAGAGTTGTTAGCAATGTGCTAAGAAGGCCACAGAGTAATCAGTGTGAATCTAAGGTCATGAGACACTGACAGGAGGGTCAAAGGGTAGCTAGGCTTTCAGGGTTCCCCATAACCAGCAGCACCGCGCTGCCTCCAGGCTGGCGCACCCTGGTCATCCCTCTCCCTCCCCTGCACCTGCCCCCGTCCCCGCCCCCTCACCCCTTGGTTCTTCTGACCCAGCAGTGCCATGAAAACCCAAAGTGAGCCACTAGGCATTCTGCTGAGATCTGTACATTTCTTCGCTCCCTCACCCATTCGTTTATTCATTCGTTCAAGGACTAGGAAGGCTTTTGGTTGTCTATCATGCAGTGGCAACAGGGTATCAAGGGTCTGGGTTCTAGCCTGGGCTCAGCTGCTAGTGTGCTTTGCAATCTTGGGTAACTTGCTTGATCTGTCTTTCTTTCTTTTTCCCTCTCATCTGTAATACTTGAGAGGGCTGGGCTAGTTGGGGTTTAAGGCCTCTCTGGCCCTAACATTTCTATTCCTCTCTTCTAGGATAAAGTCTGGTGGGAACAAATATAAACCAGGTAAGTACAAAAGTAATGTTTAAGAACTCTAGCTGCCCGGATTCCAGTCCCAGCTGGGCCATCTACATATGGGACTTAACCTCTCTGAGCTTCATTCTTTGCATATACAAAATGGCAGGAATAATAATAACAACCTTAAAGGGTAGTTGTGAGGATTAAATGAGATATTGTATACAAAGTAGATGCTCAACAAATATTGTTTTTTTTGCTGTTGTTATGGTACTGGTGGGAGAGAGTAAAACCTGGACAAAAGCAGCTTGTCCTCCTCTCTGCTTCCTCACTACAGAACTAGAGTCTGACTCCAGGGTGGGAGGATTAAGCGTCTTATGTATGAGGGTAATAGCTGTTCCTTTAGAAAGACCCTGTGTTAAGTGGAAAGAACATGGTCTTTGGATCCAGTTGAAACTTGGTTCAGGTCTGGGCTCTGGGCTTCCCTGGTGGCACAGTGGTTGAGAGTCCACCTGCCAATGCAGGAGACACGGGTTCGTGCCCCGGTCTGGGAAGATCCCACATGCCGTGGAGCGGCTGGGCCCGTGACCCATGGCCGCTGAGCCTGCGCATCCGGAGCCTGTGCTCCGCAACGAGAGAGGCCACAACAGTGAGAGGCCCGCGTACCGGAAAAAAAAAAAAAAAAAAAATCTGGGCTCTGCCTCTTACTATCTGGGTGACTTTGTACTAGTTACTTAGCCACTCTGAGATTAATTTTCACATCTATAAATCGGAGATGGAAATAAAAGGAGTCCAACAGTAGTACCTACCTCATAGAGTCACTGTGAATATAAAATGCATGTAAGTTACTTGGGTCAGTTTTTCACAAACAGAGGCTGGTCAATATTAATCTCTCCCTTCCAGGAAGGATCTAGATAGAATGGAGGGGAGACCCTAGCACTGAAATTTCTAGGCATCCTTGACTGAGTGTCCTGTGAGAAGACTGGGTAGTGGGTATTCTAGCTCAGACCCAGAGCTGGCATCAGCAGCTCTCCAACCCCCTTTGCCCAGGTGCCATCCACACAGAACCTATGAACCAGCCTCCCTGGATGAACCCGATCCCTGAACATGCCCTCTGCTGGGAGCTGAGACCAGAATGGGAGGCTGAAAGCAGGTCTTGAAAGGCCTCACACGCGGGGCTCAGGAGTTTAGACTTTGCTCAGCAGGCAAAGGGAGCCGTGGAAAGTTTTTGATCAGCAGCCACATGACAAAATTTTTGAGCCAACATCCAACCCACTCCAGTTTCTGGAGGCGAGACCTGATAGGCATCAAGGATGTACAAAAAAGGGAGATACAGAAAAGGGGGGGTGGGGAATCCATGGGAATACCAGGTGGGCTGTATGGTGGGACAATCAGAGAGATGACCCTATGTCCTAACCAACTGAACATCAACGACCTAGACGAGTGACAGGCTGGTAGAAGGTGCTTTGTCAAGGCGTGAAGGTGTGTGGGAATGAATAGCTGAGGCTTTTGTGAATAGCTGTGGCCTTGAGAGGCTTTCAAAGAAAAGGTGCTTCTGGCCTGTGGGTGCTGAGAACATCTTTCATGTTCTCACTCATGTGATTAATGTGGGAGATCTCTGAAAGATGATGAGTGTTGTCTTCGTGACTGCTTTCTTAACCTCCAGTGTCTTGTCTGGGATCATAATCCAGGACAACAACAAAGACACAAAAGCCCTCTGAGCAATCCAAACAAGGAACTGCTGTCAAAATCAGATGCTTTTTCTGTAGGAGAGCACCTTGTGTCTTCAATGGCAGCCCACCTGCATTTATTCTACGCACGGTTTAAACAGATCCAGTGTGGCAGAGACCGCTAAGTATCAGCTTATGTCCTATTTTCCCCTCTCTTAGCAGTAGAGCTTCCAAGGTTAAAACTTGGTTACATGGCTACCCTACTAGAGACTACATATCCCAGCCTCCCTTGCAGGCAAGTGCTACAATAGGACTAAGTTATAACCAGTGGGATGGGAGTGGAAGTGATCTGTTTCATTTCTGGGCCACATTCTTAAAAGGAGGCTGCCTGCTCTCCAGTTCCTCTTTCCCCTTGTGCAGACTGGACCATGGACAGGGGGATGGAGGTGGGGACAACTTTGACGATGCTGGCAAGGACCTGAGTTTGGCCAATCTACAAGACCTGAGTTTCATGATGACCTGGAGAAGAGCCCTGAACTATTGACACCTTGGTCTATGACAGCAGCTGAACCCATAGCCTGATAAATCTAGTTTCCTGATTTTCAAGCCCACAGTAGAGGGAAAAGAGCATATTGGAAGGAGAAAGGACTTACAAAAAGCAAGCACAGTGAAATTAGCAAAGGCCTAGAGCAAGAGGATATAGAACAACTTATATAAACAAAAGGATATAAAACAAACTCAGTTTGGGGTCATTTAGTTCAGGGCCATGCCAAAAAGCCTTGGGGGCACCATTGTATTACAAGATAATGTTGGAAATGCTCAGAATAACAATCTTGAATCATTAAGAGAAGGTTAATTCTGATGGAATATTTTATTTTAAAAGGAAGGCAATTATATGATATGTCTAGTGTGTCTGGAAATGGTTAACACAAAACTTGTATGCTTAAGGGTAGAAACCTTCAGCATCCATTCAAAATAATACCTTTCCTGGGGCTTCCTTGGTGGCACAGTGGTTGAGAGTCCTCCTGCCGATGCAGGGGTCACGGGTTCGTGCCCCAGTCTGGGAGGATCCACATGCCGCAGAGCGGCTGGGCCCGTGAGCCATGGCTGCTGAGCCTGCGCGTCCGGAGCCTGTGCTCCACAACGGGAGAGGCCACAACAGTGAGAGGCCCGCGTACCGCAAAAAAAATAAAAAATAAATAATACCTTTCCTGATGGGTCAGAAAGTAGAGATTTTGACTCATTGATATATACCTTCTCCCACTAGATTATACATCCTTTTAAGATCAGATTGTATCTCCTTTTTCTTTTTATTCCTAGTGTCTAGCACAGTGCTAACTCAAATAAATATATTTTAATAACTAAGGGGGTGAAATCTGTGTTACCTTAGATGCCAGAGCTTAGTAGGGTCCCACCAGCTGATGTGGAGTATTGAGCAGTGAAATTGCCTGAGGTCCCAAAACACCCTGGTAGAGAGCTGCAGGGCCACAGCCCTCACAGCCAAGAGTGATACGAGCCCGTGGTGACCCTACCCCTGTTGTCTAGAAATCATTTCGTCAGAAACACTCCCCTGAGCTCACAAGACCAACATGCACAGGATTTTCATTGCAGAACTGGTTGTAATTCCAAAAACAAACACAACTGTACACAGGCTACACAACGGTGCATGGCCTTCCTTCACTGTCCAGGGGAGATGTTCAGGAAAATTCAAAATAAGAGGGAAAAAAGCGGGAGGTCCAGGAAAGGGTCAGCTAGGTGTGCCCACTGCTTGTTTCACATCATTTCGATGGCTTCGAGGCAAGAGAGATACACTAGTGTCCCCATCATCCTAAAGCCCAGTGCTAGTCACCTAGCTAAGCAGGGGGTAAGAAAGGGGGCGGCAGGTCTGGAGGTGCTGAGCGTCTGCAGATTTTGCTATAGGATCTAGAAATAAACGTATGCCACTGACAGGGACAGTATTTTTCAAGGCAGAACCACATCACTATTCACACTCTGTGACAATCCAGATACTCTAGGGTATCCCCTATCCCCAAGAGCCCAATCAAAACTCTCCAAGAAAGTGGGTCTATTTTGGGAGCTCAGGCTTCTGTCACACACTCTAATCTGCCTTTCCAAACAGAAGGAAATTTGATTACCTATTCAGAAAATAGGCAAGCAATGTACTGGGATTGAAGACTATTTTTTCAGTGTCCTCTGTCTAATCCGACATGGGGTTGTGGGTTTTGAGAGACACACAGCACTGACCCCTCACTGGAAGCTGACACTCCCCAGTCTGATGGGGCCAGAGTGGAGAAGTCAGTAGCCCTCTAACCACATGGTCCTCAGGGCAGAGAACCTAAGCCTCCCCTCCGCTGGGACAGCCCTGGCCTCCCTGCCCTCCCTCACCCATGGCCTCAGGCTGGGTCCCCACTCACCAAGGCCCCACCAGGTAGATGCTCTTAGCTAGCCGCAGCTTCTTTTACTTCTGTCCTGGAAAAGGGGAAATTCATGACTAGTGGGAGGTCACTGTCATCTACCTCCAAGTCACTGCGAATTATCAATATTGGAAACTTCTGGTGGGGCCGGGTCAGAGGTGGATGCGGATGACACCACAAAGGAAGCACCACTGTGTGCTGGAACTCTGGAGACACATTGGAGAGGGAGGGTTTCGCCATCCAGAATTGAGCTAAAATGAACATTTCCAGGGCAGATCTGGAGGTTTGAAGCCTGCACAGCCTCACCTCAGTTCTGTCTTGAGCCTGGCTGATGCCCTGCAGGATTAGGTTGTTAAAGAATACTTGGAAACTAAATCATCAGTGGTGAGCATGCCGTAGTATATACTGAAGCAGAAATATAATGTAGACATGAGACATATAATGTTAGAAACCAATGTTACCTCAATAAACAATAAATATGTGGGTGCTCATGTTGATATTTATTGAGGCTATAGACCACCCCTCACCTCTCAAGCAGATCCTCATAGGGCAGCAATATGGTTTTCCTATTGGATTTCTTCTGGGCTACAAAGTGAAAATCCCGTCTCCCTGGCCAGTCTCTTGAAAGCAGCTCTGCTGTACTGTGGGAGTTGGCATTTGTTTCCAGTAATGAACACATTCTTTATTTTATACCTTTATTAACTTGTGAAATATAATACACAGACAGGGAATTCCCCGGTGGTCCAGTGGTTAGGACTCCATGCTCTCACTGCTGAGGGCCCGCATTCAATCCCCGGTCAGGGAACTAAGAATCCCGCAAGCCACACAGTGCGGCCAAAAAAAAAAAAAACCACATAAGAGAGGTGTATATAAAACGGAAATGAGAGCTATAATGAATAATCATAAAGCAAACACTATGTAACCACTACCCAGGTCAAGAAATAGAACATTATACCAGACATTTTCCTGTGTTGCTACCCAGTCCCAGCCCTCTCTTCTCCACCTGCCCCCCACCCACAGATAGCCCTCTCTTGACCTTAATGGTAACCTTTACTTCCTTTTCTTTATACTTTACCACCTGAGTATTCATCCTTAATCAATAGAGTTTGGTTGGGTCTCTTTTTTTAAGTGGATATTAATGGAATCCGAGCCTGTATATACTTCACGTAGGGCTTCTTTTACTCAACGTTATATATTAAAGATTCATTCAAGTTGTGGCGTGCAGTTGTAGTTTATTCATTGTTATTGCTGTATGGCACTCCATTGCTTGACTCTGCCATAATTAATTTATCCTGGTTGGTGGAAATTGGGGTTATGAACAACTTTTTGTTCATCAGCTTGTTTTCTAAAACAATGCCACTATGCCTGGTACACGTGTGCTCGAGTTTCTGTAGACCCAGAGTAAAGTGGGGATGATCATCCACATTGGAGGTGTGTATCGTCAGCTTTACTAATTAATGCTAAGTGTTTCCCAAAGTAGAGTTGTATCAATTTGTACCTCCACCAGCAGTGGGTGAGAATTCCCGATGCTCCACATCCTTTTCAATATTTGACATTGATGGTCTTTGTTACCATCCTGGTGGGGTTTTAGTAGTGTCTCCTTGCGGTTTTAATATGCATTTCATGAATTATTAATGAGATGAGGTACATGATCAAATATTTCTTGGCCATTTGGAATTCTTTTTTTGGAGGTACCTTTCACCCATTTTTTAAAAATTGGGTTGTCTTTCTAATTGATTTGAAAGATATTAAAAATATCCTTACAATTATCTGCTCCTGTTTGGGGGTTTGCCTTTTCAGTCTGTGGTGTTCTCAGATTAACAAGAGTTTTAAATTTTAATTTAGCAAAATTTATCTATCTCTTTATATCATATTTAAGAAATATTTCCTGGCCCTGAGGACTTAAAGACATTCATCTGTACTACCTTCTAAAAGTTTGAAGATTTTTGCATTTTACATTTAACTCTAAAATCTATATGGAGGTACATCAGTGACAATGGCAGAGGAGGTAACTCCAAAAGTCTGTCCCTCCTCAAAAATAATGAATAAACTGGCAAAAAAAACTATTGAGTCAACTTTTTTGGAACTCTGGAAACTAATGGAAGGCTTGCAGCACTTGGGGAATGCTTAACCAAGGGGAAAAGCAGCTGAATCTCAGTAAGAAAGCTTTACGGTATTTTTAAAATACACTTTATTTTTTAGAGCAGTTTTAGGTTCAAAAATTTAGCAAAATTAGGCAGAGATTTCCCCATGGCCCCACATATGCTCAGCCTCCCTGCTATCGAAATGAACCGCCACTGACATATCAGAATCACACAAAATCCATAGTTTATGTTAGGGTTCCCTCCTGGTGCTGTACATCCTAAGGGTTTTGACAAATATATATGGACATATATCCACAATTTTAATATCATCAGAGTAGTTTTACTGGCCCCAAATCCTCTCTGTTCTGCCTATTCATCTCTCTCTCCCCTCCACCACTGATTCTTTTACTGTGTCCGTAATTTTGCCTTTTCCAGAATGTCATATAGTTGGAATAATACAGTAGGTAGCCTTTTCAGATGTTTCTTTCACTTAGTAATATGAATTTAAGTTTCCCACATGTCTTTTCATGGCATGATAGCTCATTTCTTTTTGTGCTGAATAATATTCCATTGTCTGGATGTACCTTAACTCATTTATCCATTCACCTATGGAAGGACATCTTGGCTACTTCCAAGTTTTGGCAATTACAAATAAAGCTTCCCTGACCATCCATGTGCAAGTTTTTGTGTGGACATAAGTTTTCAGCTCATTTGGATGAATATTAAGGAGTCCAATTTCTGGATTATATGGTAACAATATGTGCTATACCATTTTGCATTCCCACCAGCAATGAATGAGAGTTCCTGTTGCTCCACATCCTTGCCAGCGTTTGATTTTGTCAGTGTTCTGGATTTCTAATAGGTGTGTTGTGGTACCTCATTGCTGCCATAATTTGCAATTCCCTAGTAGCATACAATGTGGAGCATTTTTTCATGTGCTTATTGCCAACTATATATCTTCGTTGATGAGGTGTCTGTTCAGGCCTTTTGCCCATTTTTAAATGAGGTTACTCATTTTCTTCTTTTTGAGTTTTAAAAATTCTATATATATATATATATATATATATATATATATTTGGCTGCACTGGGTCTTTGTTGCTGCCCGCGGGCTTTCTCTAGTTGCGGCGAGCGGATCTACTCTTCATTGCGGTGAGTGGGCTTCTCATTGCTGTGGCTTCTCTTGTTGCAGAGCACGGGCTCTAGGCCAGCAGGCTCAGTAGTTGTGGCACACGGGCTTAGTTGATCTGCGGCATGTGGGATCTTCCCGGACCAGGGCTTGAACCCTTGTCCCCTGCATTGGCAGACGGATTCTTAACCATTGCACCACCAGGGAAGCCCTAGAATTCTTTATATATTTTGAATAAACATCTTTTATCAGATATGTCATTTGCAAATATTTTTTCCCAGTTTGTGGCTCATCTTCTTATTCGCTTGACAGTGTCTTTCACAGAGCAGAGGGGGGTTTTCTGTGTATTTTTTTAGATTTTGATATTTTAATTTCTTTTGAATACAAGTCACTTTTTGTAAGCTAGGAAACAGAATCAAACTAAGGCAGTCTTGTCCTCTAGAGATCCAGGCCAGTTCTTACAGTCTTCAGCAGAATGACATCATAATATGAGGTGCTAACAACAGGGTTAAAAACTATAAATAATAACCACTTATTTACATTTTTTCCTTAGGAAACAGCCAAAAGTCCAGTCCTTAAAGGCATGATATACAGAACATCTAGATCTACAAAGGACAGAATTATCCAAATTATACGCTGGCCAACCTGTCGGTGAACCAGATCAGAGCTGGCCCAGGACTGGTGAACAGAGAATGTGTTTACGGTTTGAAAATTTGCTCTGAGGTTTAAAAAATTTCTAGTTGCTATTAATAAGAAAGCAAGTAAAAAATATTATAGATGCACCACACTGATTATTTGATTTTGCCAAGGTTTTCCACTAGAACACAAAGTTAGCGTATGGGGATAAGACACTTAGATATTTTCAAAATAAATTACTTAGTAATAAGAAATCTGACTTAACTGCATTCTTCCATTTGCCACAAGAACATATTGACAATGAGGACTATTTAAAAGAATGCTCAACTCTAAAAAGGGTGGTGGCAGCAACACATTCCGCTACAGAATAACCTCCCACTTTCCCATACAATTAACATTGCTACTTTTCATGATACATATTCATGTGGAAAAACTTGTCAGGAGCTCTTGCCAGGGCCAGGAGATGAAAAATAGAGACTGTCCTAATGACATGGATAGTTGTAAGCTCAGTTAACGTCTTTAGGATGGACCCATGAAATCTGGCCACTGTTTTATTAAATATCTGCAAATCGCAGAACTCCTTAGCCCTTAGCCATAGTATCTGCTCAATGTCTAAAAGCTGGGCTCTGTCCCATCTGTGACTCTTTTCTTCAGGGCTGAGGTGCGTGCTAGTCATCAAAGTCTGGCATGTCATCGTAGGAGTGTCCCCAGTAGCCTTTGGGTACATAGCAGGCGATGCGCAGGTGGTAAAATCCTTGCAGGGACACCAGGATGCCAATGATCAGGACAGGAACGGCCCAGTCTACCCACTCATAGGAACTGTGGGAGAAGTTTGTTGAAGCTCAAAGGAAGAAACATGTCTTATTATCTGAGAACAAAATCCCTTTGCTGATATAGCCTGCCGGCAGGAGGGAGCCTATGATAATGAGAAAGGCACCAATCAAAAACAGCACCTACGTAGGGCTTCCCTGGTGGCGCAGTTGTTGAGAATCTGCCTGCCAACGCAGTGGACACGGGTTTGAGCCCTGGTCTGGGAAGATCCCACGTGCCGCGGAGCAACTGGGCCCGTGCGCCATAACTACTGAGCCTGCGCGTCTGGAGCCTATGCTCCGCAACAAGAGGCCGCGACAGTGAGAGGCCCGCGCACCGCGATGAAGAGTGGCCCCGGCTCACCGCAACTAGAGAAAGCTCTCGCACAGAAACGAAGACCCAACACAGCCAAAAATAAATAAATAAATAAATAATTAAAAACAAAAACAAACAGCACCGTAGCAAGTGCAATGGCCTTATATGGAATCTTAGGAGGGCCTTTCTTAAACTTTAATAAATTGGATCTCATGACATCAGGAAAGAAGGAAGATTCCCACAATCTGTTGGCTTTAGCAGTTAGTTTCTCCCTGAAGGTCAATGTAGCCATCCTCTGTACTGGAGAGCCTTGAGTATTTCACTTTACTACTGGGGATTCCGGTAGCCAGGTTGGTACGAGAGTGCATCATAACACGATGACACAGCTACAGTCGGAGCCCCGCCAGGCCATCCGCGTGCCACAGCTAGCTCACGGTTTGCAGCGGGCGAGCCGAGGCCTCATGGCACGCCTCCCCCAACTGCCTCCCCGCCCCCGACCCCAGAGGTTTTTAATTAATTAAAACAATTAGCTTAACAAGTCTCCCTTCCATGAATCATGGTCTTTGGTGTTATATCCAAAAAGTCATCATGTCAAAGGTAATCTAGCTTTTTTCCTATGTTATCTTCTAGGAGTTTTATAGTTTTGAATTTTACAGTTAGCTCTAAGAAGCATTTTGAGTTAATTTTTTGTGAAGGGTATAAGGTTCATTTTTTGGCATGTGGATGTCCAGTTGTTCCAGCACCATTTGTTGAAAAGACTGTCTGTGTTCTAATGTATTACCTTTGCTTCCTCATTAAAGATCCGTTGATTATATTAATGTGGATCTATTTCTGGGCTTTTAATTCTGTTCCGTTGATCTGTTTGTCTGTTTTTTCATCAATAAAACTGTTGATCTATTTGTCTGTTCTTTCATCAATAAAACTTTCATCAGTAAAAAACTGTCTTGATCATATTATAGTAAATCTTTATGTCAGTAGTTTCAGTTCTTTAACTTTTTTCTTTTAATATTGTGCTGGCTGTTTTCAGTCTTTTGTTTCTCCATATAAAGTTTATAATCATTCTTTCAATGTCTACAAAATAACTTGCTGGGATTTTGATTGGGATTGAGTTAAATCTATATATCAAGTTGGGAAGAACTGACATCTTGACAATATTGAGTCCTCTTATCCATGAACAAATGGAATACCTCTCAATTTATTTAGTTATTCTTTTAATTTTTTCATCAGAGATCCGTAGTTTTCCTTATGTAGATCTTGTACATGCTTTACAGTGTTTTAACTTATCCTGGTGCCAACAGCCTGCATTCCTAGTACCAGCGCTGGGAGGTTAGCAGTACTGATCCCATTCTTTAAAAAAATGCTATAGTTGTTTACTTCGACCTGTTTGGTAGCTTCCAGGAGGACTGGTTCAAAAGCCTTGCCTTTATCTCACCTAACTCAGAATTCTCCCATTGCTGAGGTGGCTACTTGGAGGCATTTGTTGAAAACATTTAAAGGTCAATGAATCAATCACCGCTGCCTGGGGTGTTGGATAACAGTTGGGGGTATTAGACAACAGTTGCGGGTAATGTATAACAGTTGGGGCAAAAAATAGGCTAACCAAAAACTTGGGAAGAAAAGCTGGGAAATGAGATTCTTTGGGGAATAAGGATCTAAAATTTTTTTTCATTTTATATTGGAGTATAGTTGATTAACAATTGTGTTAGTTTCAGGTGTACAGCAAGGGGATTCAGTTATACATATACATGTATCTATTCTTTTTCAAATTCTTTTCCCATTTAAGTTATTACAGAGTATTGAGCAGAGTTCCCTGTGCTATACAGTAGGTCCTTGGTTATCTATTTTAAATACAGCAGTGTGTACATGTCAATCCCAAACTCCCAGTCTATCCCTCCCTCCCCACCCTTCCCCCCTGGTAACCATAAGTTCATTCTCTAAGTCTGTGAGTCTGTTTTTATTTTGTAAATAAGTTCATTTGTATCATTTTTTTCAGATTCCACATATAAGTGATATCATATTTTTGTCTTTCTCTGTCTGACTTATTTCACTTAGTATGATAATCTCCAGGTCCATCCACATTGCTGCAAATGGCATTATTTCATTTTATTCTTTTTAATGGCTGAGTAATATTCCATTGTGTATATGTACCACATCTTCTTTATGCATTCATCTGTCGATGGATATTTAGGCTGCTTCCATGTCTTAGCTATTGTAAACAGTGCTGCAGTGAATATTGAGGTGCATGTATGCTTTCAAACCATGTTTTTCTCTGGATATATGCCCAGGAGTGGGATTGCTGGTAGCTCTGTTTTTAGTTTCTTAAGAAACCCCCATGCTGTTCTCCATAGTGGCTACACCAATTTACATTCCTACAAACACTGTAGGAGGATTCCCTTTTCTCCAGGTAGATTCCCAGGTATGTGTAAAGCTCTGACATATACCTGGGAATCTAGAGGGTGAACCCACCCCCAGGGCTGGGCTCATGCTCTGGAAAGACTTGAGAAGTTCCTAAGCTTTCACCTCTGGCTCACCTTCAGTCTCTGTGCATGTGGAAAGTGAAGGTTAAGGCAGAGTTGTGAACTACTGTCTGAGTTTTGAAAGCATGCCCACACAAACACAGAGCCCAGCTGCAGAGACTGGGAGATATTTTTGCTGTTGTTGTTCCAGATATTTAAAGTAGTCTCTGTCCAATCACTAGCCGACCACAAAGCTAGTGGAATAGGGATTTCAGTGGACACACACAACAAAACATATAGATTTTACAAAATTAGTTCAGAAAAGACATTAAACAAATAAACAACTACTGCAACAAGCAGCAACAACAGTCCCTAGGAAGGAGAAAAATCTGATTCCCAGAGTTGCCACATTATGATATTCAAATTTTCCAATTGTCAACACAGATTATAAAGCATGAAAAGAAACAAGAAAGTATGGGCCATACACAAGAAAAGAGGCAATTAATAGAAATTGTTCTTGAGGAAGCCCAGACATTGGACTTAATTGAAAAGACTTTAAGCCAACCATTTTAAATATGCTCAAAGAGCTAAAGGAAACCAAGTGCAAAGAACTAAAGGAAACCATGAGAATGGATGCCTCACCAAATAAAGAATAAAGAATAAGGAAGGTAAAGGTAACTGCACAGATACATATAAAAGTCAGTATTAATGTATTTTGGGTTTGTAGTTCCTTTTTCATATATGATTTAAAAGATAACTGCATAAAACCAAAATTATAAATCTGTAGGCACACAATGTATGAAGATGTAATTTGTGACAATACAACATAAAGGGTGGGTGTAGAGCTATATAGGAACAAAGTTTTTGCATACTTTTGAAGCTAAGTTGATATTAATCTTCACTAGATGGTTATAAAGTAAGCTGTTAATTGTAATCCTCAGAGCAACCATTAAGAAAATAACTCAAAAATATATAGCAAAAAAAGGGACTTCCCTGGTGGCGCAGTGGTTAAGAATCTGCCTGCCAGTGCAGGGGACACGGTTTCAAGCCCTGTTCCAGGAAGATCCCACATGCCATGGAGCAACTAAGCCCGTGCGCCACAACTTCTGAGCCTGTGCTGTAGAGCCCACGAGCCACAGCTACTGAAGCCCATGCACCTAGAGCCCATGCTCCGCAACAAGAGAAGCCACTGCAATGAGAAGTCCACGCACTGCAACGAAGAGTAGCCCCTGCTCGCTGCAACTAGAGAAAGCCTGCGCACAGCAACAAAGACCCAGTGCAGCCAATAAATAAATAAATGTATAAATATCTATCTATCTATCTATCTATCTATCTATATATATATATATATAGCAAAAAGAAATAACAGGGAAATTGAAAAGATATACTAGAAAATAAATGTATATATTTAACACAAGAGAACAGTGCTGGATAAAATAAAGAACAAAAATGGTATAAGACATAAGAAAACAGATAGCAAAATGGCAGAAGTAAGTCCTTCCTTAACAATAATTACTTTAAATGTAAATGGATTAAACTCTGATTAAAAGACAGAGACTAGCAGAGTAAATTTTTTAAAAATACATGATCCAAGTATAAGCTGTCTACAAGAGACTCACTTTAGATCCAAAGACACAAATAGGTTCAAAGTGAAAGACGGAAAAAGATAGTCTATGCAAACAATAATCAAAGGGAGCTAGAGTGGCTATATTATGTCAGAAAAAATAAACTTTAAGACAAAATTGTTACAAGAGACACAGAAATGACATATAATGATAAAAGGGTCATTCCATCAAAAAGATATGACAATTATAAACATATATGTACCTAGCAACAGAGGCACCAAAATATATGAAGCAAAAACTGACAAGATTAAAGGGGAAGGGACTTTCCTGGTGGTCCAGTGATAAAGAATCTGCCTTCCAATGCAGGGGACATGGGTTTGATCCCTGGTTGGGAACTAAGATCCCACATGCCACAGGACCTGCATGCCACAAACTACGGAGCCCATGCACCACAACTAGAGAGAGAAAACCCACATGCCATTACTAGAGAGAAGCCCGCACGCCGCAACGAAAATCCCACATTCCTCACCAAAGATCTCATGTGCTGCAACTAAGACCCGAAACAGCCAATAATAATAATAATAATAATAATAATAATAATAATAATAAATAAAATAAAATAAATAAATATTTAAAGGGGGAAATAGTTTGACAATAAGAGTTGGATACTTTAATACTCTACTTTTAATAATGGATAGAACAACTATATAGAAATCATCAAAGATATAGAAGACTTGAACAACATTATAAAACAACTAGCCCTAGCAGACTCTGTAGAACACTCCACCCAACAATAACAGTATACACATTCTTCTCAATGTGTATTGAGAATACAATGTGTATTGAACATTCTCCAGTATAAACCACAAGTTAGGCCTTGAAACAAATCTCAATACATTAAGTATATAAAGTATACAAAATATCTTCTCTGACCACAGTGGAATAAAATTAGAAACCCATAATAGAAAAAAATCTGGGAAACTCACAAAAATGTAGAAATTAAATAACACATGCTAAAACAATAGGTCAAAGAAGAAATCTCACAAGAAATTAGAAAAGACTTTGAGATGAATGAAAATGAAGATATAATATACCACAACTTATGAGATATAGTGAAAGCAATGCTCAGAGGGAATTTTATACCTATAAATTCCTACATTAAAAAAGAACATTAACTTTATACCTATAAATTCCTACATTCCTAATCAATAACCCATACTTCCAACTTAAGAAACCCCAAAAAGAACAAACTAAACTCAAAGCAAGTAGAAAGAAGGAAACTATAAAGATTAGAGTGGAGATAAATGAAGTAGAGAATAGAAAAACAAAAGAGAGAATCAACAAGATGAA